CAGCACCAGCCTGGGATCACAGTTAACGCGCCAAGACTCAAAAGCGAGCTGGCACGCGGTCAGAACAAACTTGAGACAAGCGGGCCGCGGATCAGCAGTTTGCGAGCACACCAAATCGAACCACGGAGCATATCAAAAACCCACTGTAGACTGTTTGGCCACAGACCAGTTGATGTCAACACGTCAGATCGCAGATTGATCATCGGTTACAAACAAGCGCCTACTAGGGTGACCCCGTTCCTCACTCCTGAGGCACACGGCAGCTGGTGACGCTGTCGAAGCCAGAGAAGGAGGCTGTGAAGCTGTTTTCTCCCGGGGCCTGCATGGATCGCGAGGCCCTTTTCGCGACTTCAATACGATGCCCCACTCTTTAGATTATTTCCACTAAAGCAGTACCTGGCCTGTGCGATGTAGTTTGATGCTTGGTGGAATCATACTTGATGATTCAAAAGAACATTCGCCATGCAGCAATCAATACAGCACACATCAGCCGACCATGAGGTGTTGTTACAGCTGTACAAAGCTTACCTAAGACCGAGGATGATCCCAAGTACGGCAATAAGTTTTACAGGTTATATACTAGTTTGGGCATGTTGAGTACCCCGATGATGAAACAAATCCTTGGCTCTGCTGGTCTTGGAGTTGCTTCCCGTATGCGATGCAGGTCCTAAGATGCCCTCCCATCTCACCACACATGAGCCCCGTTGTTTGCCCACCTTCATCTGCTGGGATGCGCCGACTCGGAAGGAGCACTGCCAGTCTTGAAGGTGTGAGTGGGGCAGCGTCTGGGTATAGAAGTAGTACGCTTTTGCATGAGCTCCTCGACTGCAGGCTGCGATATGAATGCGCTGGTGAGCGCCTTCAAGGGACTGTTCATAGTAATACATGCCACAACCAATCAACTAAAAATCAAATCTGGTTGCAGCAATGCCACAGCCCGATCCCAACCGTGACAAAGGCCGGCCAAAACTACTTTGCCAGGATCAAGCAATGCGGCTGGAATTCATCCGCTTTGAGCACATAAATGGCGCAAATTGATACAGTAAACCTCGCCTTCCATCACTGAGCTATTCGTTTGACTCTGCCCTTGGAACATTCCAGCACCTTCCAATCATGCACATACCAAACTGCGTTGCTGGGTCCGGATTGCAACAGTGCAGCCGGGATTGGCTTCGCAACTTCTGGGTCCAACTTGCTCCTTCCTCCGTGCCGCCCATCATAACGCAGCCGTCATCAGCGGTGCTGAGCCACAACAGCTCGAGTATCCAGGCCTAAGTGGCAAGCTAGGCAAGCTGGCAAGTCGCTCAAAAAAAGGCCTTGCAATCTCAAAAGCACTGCAATCCTGTGAGCGAGGTTTGTTCATCCACGCAAAGCTCAGGCGTGAAGTCTCTGGAATTCAAAGGTCCGGACATGGGGAACCACAACGTGACAACTCCCGCAACCGTAGATGAAGTACATGTACAACACATATCACATGAGAGTCAACGACAATCGCGCTTCTGAGCAGGACTGTTCGCCTCGTCTGCCTTCCAATAATTTTCAGTCCAATCCGAAAAATGGTTTGGGAATTGGCAAGCAGTTGTCGTGATGTTGTATTCAGAGTGACTTAATTACATTTTACTAACCTTGCTTTTTGGCAGGATGCCCTCCTAAAAGAGGCGGTGCACATTTGGCACACTGTGGCACCCAGCACACAGGAGGCCATGGAAAGTGTAGTACTGCTTCCATGTTCTATCACCGCCAATCCAAACTGCTTGATATCTTCCGGTTCGCTGGCTCGAGCTGTAGAAACGAGTCCAACACAGCGGCCCTCCCATGGAAATGGGTGGCTAACCATCCGGCTGGCACTCTGGCAGTGCATCCTGGCCTCGCCCACGCGCACCAGGTCTGACCCTAGGAAGAGCAGCTCTGCACGGCCCACACGCCTTGAAGGCAGGGGCACCTCAGGTGCTCGACTCGTTGACGCGCGTCACGGGCCGCGAGTCTGGCACTCGCAGGTTGACGTCTGGTGTCGTGCGAACGCTTCGTTTTTCGTGTGCTGCGGTTTTGAGAAGTAGCAGGGAAGGGAGGTCGCACTCAAGAATTTGAATGGTTGCGCCCTGTTTGGGGGAGTCACCTGATTGTCTGTCGAACACGTGTTATCTTTCGCAATTGAAGTTGAACCCAAGATGAGGTTGCTCTGTTGTTGGGAGTTCTCTGGAAAAACATGTGTTCACCAGTTGTCTCGAAGTGGGAGGACACGTGCTGCTTTTTGGTGGGTTGGGAGAAGCGTTGAATCGAACATGCCTGCATTGTTTGCCGAGTTGCAAGAAATGTGTGGTCCAAATTTGTTGTGTACCTCCCATGGATTCTGTCCTGTTCCGCTATAGAAGCCAAGGTTTGTCACCTGTCATGCCTGCAGCACTTGATGTACTTTTTTTGCTATTCATATGTGCATTGTTTTAGGGCGATGCTGTCAGCTTCTGCAAAAAGGCCTATGTCTCTTCGGGCTGGGCTCGCGCCAACGAGCAAAGACTTGCGCCGAAGCTAGGGTGCAATTGCAGGTGCTTGAAACTTACTTGTTCTGCGTTGTCCGCATCCGGCAGGTGGCTTAGCTGATGTTTTCCAGAACCCACGTTTCTTCAATGTCCTGTTCGATCCCGACCAAACAGCTCTGATAAACCGGATCTGATCCTCGCGTCAATCACGAGACTCAAATAGCCACTGACAAACCCTGAGGCCCCACCAAACCCACTCCCGTCTGCCTGACGCCAAACTCTCGACCCGCCCATTCGCTTGACCGTCAACTGCATCAGTGCTGTGTTCGTGGGCTTGGTGTGCTCGTTTGCTTTTTTGCTCCTCCTTTGAATGTTCTTTGTGGTCTTGTTGTGTCATGTCACTGTCTCCTTTGCAAACAGAGTCGGCCACAGGCGTAGCGAGATCAAAGTCAAGCTTCTGTCAAGGGTTGAAAAATGTCGTTGATCTCACTGGGGCCCTTGAGGGTCTCCTGCCTCCAATTGCTATATAGACAGGCGTCTCAAGGACCAGGGTGTTCTCAAGTCAGCCTAAGCTAATGTTTGTTTTCAAACGCAGTAGCATCTGGGACATATGGCACGGCGCTCTTGACAAGTCACTCTATCCCGGTACTGCGCCTCAAAACCAACATGAGCCACGAAAAACGGAATATGGCAATAGGGCTTTATCCTTTTGCAAGCTTACCACTCAAGGCAGTTAGGATGTGCGCGTCCATCCTTTTGCAGCCAGGGTGCGCAAAAGCGATAGACCGGCGAAGGCTTCGGCTGGAGAGTGAGCTGAGGCCACATCTTGCAGGGATCGTTTTTGCGGCAAGCAATCAAAATGGAGACACGGAGACACCAAAAAAGCCGAGCAAACGTGCACACAATGCAGAATCAGCACCTGAAATGCGTCCATTGAATTTAACCAACTACTCAATGCAAGAACCTGGCCTGTTCTTTCGGTAGCCGTGGCAGCAGCGGTGACACAATGCGCATGAAGATCAACAACTGAAGTGCCTCGTTCTCTGGCCAGCAGTCTTTCTTTGATCCACGCAGCGTTGAGGCTAAATTGCAAGATGTTCAGCCCATGGACCTTTGGCTGGTAAATGGTTTGTTTGTATTAGTTGATGGTTTGCCCCGAACATCCTGGGATTCCTTTCATGAGTCTGACCACTCGCAAATCTTACAAGCATCTCTTAAAGCTGGTGGAGCTGCAAAACAAAGCAGAGTGCAGGCGTGGACCAATCATGGGCGATCTCGATTTAAAATGCAGCGGTCGAAGTAGGGAACCCCCAAAATGGGTGCTGTTCCTGTTGGCTTCTCTTTAATATCTAAACCAACCCCAAACGCGTACGCTCAAGAACATATATGGAAACCCCAAGAACGTTTGTGTACTACAAAACAATGTTTTTAAATGGACCAATCCACCAAAGGGACCCTTTCGTCGCTTGGGCACTGGAATTCTGGCCAAGTCATAGCCAAAGCTACGGGGTGCACACCATTGCACGGCTCATCCCTGTCCACATCATCCTCCTAGCGTCGGCAATGCTCAAAGTGCTGCAGTAGGGGTCTGAAAGTGCTGCTACCGGCTGCTACCTTAAAATCAATTTTGTTCGTTTAAGGCTGGGTACATTTAGGCTAGGATGAGCTTCAGGCTGGTCTGAGTTCGGGTGGAGACTTTTGTCTGCTGATGCATTATGACCACAAGACAAATTGTGATTCTCTCCTGGACTGCATGGAAAGCTCAAGTGGTCGCTCTGCGCTCTCAATGACTTGCTCTCCGAGTTTGTGTGCGCGCGTGTGCGCGACCCAACACAAGAAGCAGCAGTACAAACTCTGTCGGCCTGTCCAAGCGCTGCCTGCGCCATCTGCAGAAGCTCTTCTGGCTCTACCCGCGATTGTAGCAATGTCTGGACATGCCTCAGGTTCGCTCCCTCAGGCACTACCAATCAACGCAACTTTGATATGTGGCAAAAAGCACACGCCTTGCTGTCCAATCAAGCCATGCGTCGAACATCCGTGCCCTCCTGCAAATCAAAGCTATTTTGACTATGGCATAGAATGCCCGTGTTCAGTTCATTGATGAAAGCTAGCATACCCTTGCATAGGTATTAGCATATAGCATACATACCGGCAAAAATGCTGCTTCGAGGGGCCTGCCGACGTTCTGTACTCTTTGTCGCCCCTCGTGACTGCGATCCTCCTGTCAGAGGCTGACTCCAAGATGTTGCCAAGGGGATGCAGCACACTACACACTGGCAGCATATTCCATATGCAACCTGCCCTGCAAAATAACGACAATATGTTTTCAATGTTGAACTTGATTCCCTCGCAAGACTAGATGGCATGACTCCCATATTCTTGCGGGTTGTCTGATTTGTTGCTTGCACAAAGCAACACATTTGCCAACTGGCGAGCGGAGTGCCCGACCAACGACCTTCAATGGCCTCACAAAACAAGTGGAGGACAGCATGGTGGTTGGTTTACCACTTCGCCGCTATGCGGTCTCGTTCTTGCCGGGATCCTTGGAAAGGATGTGAACTTCCTGGTCATCACACTTTCTGGCTGCCCCCAAATGGTGGCTGCCCCCAAAATGGTGGCTTTCCCGGTGGCTTCCACCCAAACAATACCAACTCATAAAAACGACACACCCTGCCGCCTCCCCCTCTCCTCACAAGCCAGGCGAAGGCTCCAGTCCAAGGCTTGCACGTACTCCGTCTGCGCCTGTCTGAGTCTCGTTTGGATCTCGTTACTCTGGGGACCATCTCGTCTGACGTCTCACAGCAAGATGTGTCTGCTTTCTATGATATTCTGACCGGATCAATTCACAAATTGATTGCTGGTTGAAATAAAGAACAAGGTATACTTATTCTCCAAGTTTGGTGGTGAATTTCATATTCAGCGACAAGCCATAATGGAAATCCCCAATCTTCTGGACATGTCGCTTGCATAGCCCGAGAAATTAAACCGGCCAGCAAGCAAACATGCCACCTGGGCAAGCAGCAGGAGCCTGTCACAACTGCGCAACGCATGTGATGGTAGTTCTGTTCTTGTGACCAGGTGTCTGCTGTCTCGCAACCTTCACTGTATTCCGTGCACATATTGATCACACAGCGCTCTGAGAAAGTTAAGACATCCTGGACCCATAGTGCTAACTCGCAAGTTCCATGTGTTGCCGCTCCAAAAAATATTCATCCATGTCACTCGCCTTCCAGTGCTCATCGGCGTTTGGCAGCAGGAATCCTTCTAGCCGCCTTGCTGCCCAGAGGAAAGCTTCACTCAGCTCCTCCAAATGGCTGCACCCATATCTGCTACCGTGCTTGTTTGAACAGGGATCCTTACATTATACACCTGAACATTGCCTTGTACATGGTGGTTTCTCTTCATTTTGGTGGAAAAAAACATGTTGCAAATGGGCAAAATGCATCTTTTAAGAAGCTCTTTGAGAACTTTCCGTTTGCCAGCTTGGTCACGACCTCACGTTTCCGTCGCACTCGCGTTCGCGCGTTCGCGCCCTCCTCCTCTTTCAGCAGCAGCTTCCAGGGGGCGCGGCTCCAGCCTGGTGGGTCAAAAAATAGGGTAACCCCAAAATGGGGTTGCCCTGGTAAATGGGAACATGGACCAAAACCTGCGGTCCAATTCCTTGTGGTTTAATTTTGACACCCACGTAGACAAAGAGCCAGGAACCACTTTAGCCACTAAAGTGCCATCTTGAGCCTCTTACGCCCGGCCAGGCAAAGTGGCTCTGATGCAGAATGGAAAGCGGCAAGCGGACGACAAGCGGCAAACACGCTGGTTTTTCTGGGCAAAACCCACCGTCCATCATCCCCTGGTCCGTACGAATCTCTTCCACTGTAGGGCGCTTTTGATGAAAACTCAATCATGAACAGACGTACAGATTATACAGCAAGGGTGACTCTAGCTCTCAGTGCAATCTTGAGGTAAAGGGCAGCCATTGAGGTCGCGTTACATTTGTTTCCCCACGACCACATGTTATGTGGGTGCCGTGCGGGATGATTCGAAATGTGAGGGATATCCCCGAAAAGAATCCCCCTAAGGAACAAGCTCATATTGCTCGTGGGGTAAGCTCGATACAGATTCGCAGCAGCGTGTGCGTGCAGAATGTACAAATATAAGCACTTGTTGTTCATATATACCCCTTGCTTCACTGGAAGAGAACTGGATCGGGCTTTGTGCCGGTCCTTGAGAACATTGCTCAGCCCTTGGAAGTGGAAATTGGCAACCGGAATTTGAGGGCTCTGCCAGAATATTTGGGTGAACACGTGGTTTTGAGTTTTGTGATTGATTTAATTACGCTTTGACATTGCGACATGAATCGATTTCAGGCTGCCTTGGGGTAGGTCTCAAATAGGTTTGGGATAGTTGGATTGGTAGATTCAGGGCGGGTTTAGGGCTGGTTGGTTTTGGATCGAAGTCAAGGGTTTGCCACTCTTGTTGAGGGCTGGCTTAGGGTTTCGGGTAGATGTGCGGTGGAACGCAAGGCCAGCCCTGCAAAAGGACAAGCCAACAAGCCACAAGAGCCAGAGTGACAAGAGACAGGAGCCAACAAATTGGGGTTGATCAAATGACCATAAGGGAAATCACAAAAAAATACGTTCACCGCCAAATGGGGAATTTACCCATGGTCATTTTGGGGCCAGGAATATTGATCAACCCCCACATGCAAGTTTGGTTTGCTCAGAAACAACGGAACTGTTGACAAAGTCCTTGGCCTGCTGTATGCCAATCGAAAGCAAGAGGACATGTGACATTTCGCCCAAGCCACCTGCCAAATTCCGCGTGAGGAGATCCAAGAAGGCCTTGTAAGAAGACAGGATCGTCTTGTACCTGCCGAAGAAACCGCTTGCCCGGACTGGCTCTTGATTTCTCAAGCTCCGGAGAATGCTGTGAAGTCATGTGCCTGTTCTGCCTTGCTTCCCTGCATCTGCACCTTGGTACATGTTGTTTTCCTGGAGCTGTTCTCAGAGTGACATGCGATCTGATGCGGCCGCCCCGTTTGAGAAACAAGAGAGGCCCGGGTCCCTCTGACACCTAAGCTCGCGAACCTCCCGACGGCTGTGAGGGCCAGGGTGCTCTTCAAGATTGCTGCCCTGAAAGGTCCGGAGGCTGAAGACGAAGGCCAACTTGGCTCATGTCAACGAACGCTCGAAAACGCGCGCAGCGAGCCAGAGAACAGCAAGAAACCTTGACCTTCTCCTCTCCTCCGGTCCCTTCTGCCCAAGTCTTGGTCTGCTCCTCCGCAGGGAAGCCCCAAACTCAGCTAAGACGCCAGGCAATTGAAGGCATAGCTCAGGCTGCACTTGGCGTCCAACTCACCTGCTACGCTTTCCAGACTGCTCACCTGCTCTCTTCCCATCTTGTTCTGTCGATCAGTTCGATCATGTGCCCTGGTCAAAACCATGCAGGTCCGCATAATATGGAAATGATCATCAGCCCAACAAGAAGATATCGACTGATCAAGGAACCTTGAATTCTCTTGGTGCAGGCACTCAGAATGTTGGTTTGTGGCATTTCAATGTGTCATCAGTGCCGTGCATCGAAAGTGCTCTCAACCTGAGGACCTGAGCGCCTGACTGCGGGAGAGGCTAAAGCTTGCCACCTAAAGCCTTGTGAATCATCGAGGTGCTTCCAGGATGGCACAACATGGCAGCTCCTCTTAAGCGTATGCCCAATGCACCTCTCTCCCCCTAACAAGCAGCCTCTGGCCTGTCTTGACCGAAGCTTAGGCCGAGTCGCAGCGCTGCTCAAAGTACTGGAAGTGCTTGCCCATGATGTAGTGCGACGTGTCCTTGGGGAAAATTTCAATCCCTCATCTAGCCCCAAGCAAACGGTGCTTGACCACGGAAAATAGAAGCTTGATGATGCAAAACGGAGAAGTTCCGGAGAACAGTCTTCTGTTCCACATGTGTAGAATTCAAAATTGAGTGTATCTGTTCTAGAGGCTACTGCTGAGATCTTACAAACTGTTCAACAGGCTTGCATATGGCCAAAACATGGTCAAGGTGCAAAGGAGCTTTGCCGCTTTGCCCCTTCCCGCTCCCCGCAACCAGCTTTGTGCCACGGCTCCATGCAATTCTTCCATATATCGCTCACCGAGTAGCGCATACAAAAATCACAAATGTGTGCATCAGGCGCTAGACTGTGTCCGCTCCTTGCAATATTGTGAGCATTGTCGTCTTGAATTGGCATAAGTTTGCTGCTTGGCTCCAGGCGTTCTGGATGGGATCTTTCATGCAGCTTCGGCTGGAGTTGAGAATTGCTCTAGTTTAGGTTTTGCCCGGCGTGCATACCGTGTGCGGAGAAGCAACATCTTTGGCCAGCCCTGATCTGAGTCCCTCAAACTAGCCGCTAAGCGCAGTCAAGATGCTAGGGAGTCCTTGTAGCCATGCCAGCTGCTGGTGCGCCAGTAGTATTCCTCAAGGCAAGGACTTGTTTAGCAGGTCCTTACAGTATACACCTGAACATTGCCTTGTCAATGGTGGGTTCCCTTTATTTGGGTGGAAAAAGCCATGTCTCAAATGGGCAAAATGTATCTTTTAAGGAGCCCTGCTCAAGGCAGGGACTTGTTTAGCCCCTCAACATTGATGCGAGTGGGAGCCTCTGGGTCGGCATCGTGTTTGGGGCGATGGACCTCCGTCCTCGACGGACATCCGACAAACTCGGGCACCTGCCCATCGAAAGCCACGGCTTCACAAATCTTTCCGAGCTGCCAGGTCGAAACGGGAGCTCCTGGGCTGGTTGCGGCAAACAAAAAGCTAAGCTTACAAGGACAAGACTTGACGATCACTTCCTCCAAAGGCTTCTGAGACTCATGGCAGACCTTTTGTAGACTTCCCCATTGAAAGGTAGCCTTATTCTTGTGTAGTGCTATGGAAAAAGCTATATATAGCTGGAACATGAGACTCATCGTCAATCCCATGGTATGTCAAAGGCGTATCTGAGACTGTCTCACAGTCATTGCCGCATCCTTCAAAATTGAATCGCGGTCGAACGCCAACAAAACCACTTCCTCATCGGGGGTGCTCCCCAGGGTGGATCGCCTTCGCAGCCCAAACAATTAAGAACTCCTCCTTTGGACGAACAATCTTTGTCACTATTCCAGCCTTCCAAGCCAGATGCGCCGCTGGCTTTGCAAGAACAACTCGATGCCAGGCCGACTCCATAGCCTGCACAAGCTTTGGGAGAACACTCTGGTCCCATATTTCACACAGAAGCGACAAACATGAGCACAGTTTCCACCACGCTAATTGCACCTCCCCAAGCGAAACTCGTCCAAGGAACCCAGACTCTTCTGAGCCAAGCAAAAGTCAACACCACATTTCATGCAAAAACGATTGGCTAGCAAAAGATAGCAGCGGCTTGCCATCCCCCCTGGATAGCACTCAAGGCTCTGACGTGAGTCTCGGACACAAGTCCCTGACACGAGTCCCGTGCCACAATCCTCAAGCACCCTACTTGAGAGGAAGCATCAAACCAACCAGTTTCTGGAGATCAAACACACATCAGGCATCAGAACAACTCATTTCCGGAGCTATTGGGATAGAATGGGCCCAGGTCATATTCTGGGTCCATTCAATGGCAAAAATGAGGGGCATGCCCAAGAAGCACATTTCTCGTTCGCGCGTAAGGTGCCAGGTTCATCTCCGGGTAACATCTTCTCTGAAGCTGCATGCTTCTTGGACACTGGAAAAGGCCGAGCTGGGTGTACCCAAATACAACTCGCTGTTGTTCTTGTTCTTGTTGCTCTTGCTGCTGCTCTTGTTGTTCTTGTTGCTCTTTTGGCTCTTCTTGCTAATTTTCTTGCTCTTTTTCTTCTTGATCTTGGTGTTGGTCTTGGCCTTGTTCTTGGTCTTGATTGTCTTTTTCCTTGTTATTGCTCTTGTTGTTCTTTTTCTTTTCGATCTTGTTCTTGTGGTTGTGGTTGTGGTTGCGTTGCTGTTGCTGTTGCTGTTGCTGTTGCTGTTGCTGTTGCTGTTGCTGTTGCTGTTGCTGTTGCTGTTGCTGTTGCTGTTGCTGTTGCTGTTGCTGTTGCTGTTGCTGTTGCTGTTGCTGTTGCTGTTGCTGTTGCTGTTGCTGTTGCTGTTGCTGTTGCTGTTGCTGTTGCTGTTGCTGTTGCTGTTGCTGTTGCTGTTGCTGTTGCTGTTGCTGTTGCTGTGTTGTTGTTGTTGTTGTTGTTGTTGTTGTTGTTGTTGTTGTTGTTGTTGTTGTTGTTGTTGTTGTTGTTGTTGTTGTTGTTGTTGTTGTTGTTGTTGTTGTTGTTGTTGTTGTTGTTGTTGTTGTTGTTGTTGTTGTTGTTGTTGTTGTTGTTGTTGTTGTTGTTGTTGTTGTTGTGGTCGTGGTCGTGGTCGTCGTCGTCGTCGTCGTCGTCGTCGTCGTCGTCGTCGTCGTCGTCGTCGTCGTCGTTGTTGTTGTTGTTGTTGTTGTGGTCGTCGTCGTCGTGGTTGTTGTCGTTGTTGTGCAAGTGTCAATGTGAGGTCATGCATCTTCATATTGCTTCCCTATTTGGGCCACCATACCATCAGCTCCAGCCTCTGCACAAGAAGGACTACGTTCGGAACTGGATTTTGGTGATACGCCTTAACGATAACGTACTCGTTTTAGCATCCTTTTAACGCTTTTAAGCATCCTTGTAAGCATCCGTTTAAAAGGCACCGGAATCTACGTCCGGCTCACGAGAACTATCTCCGGCTCGCTTTTGAAGGCCAGGAATCGACGGCTTTCGGCTCGGCCTGCCGAAGCCCGGCGCGAAGCTGCCATCGGGCCGGTGGTGCAGCACGTGGTGACCTGGTCTCGCGCTGACGTGGCAGAGCGAAGCTTCTACGAAGTTCGACAAGTCAAACCAGGGACAGCGTGAAACAAACACCTACAGCATCTTTGCCCCCAAACCACGCAACATGCAAATTCCGTGTTGAGAGAATGACCAGAAAACTGGAAACGCCCAAGTCGTGGCAAAGTTCGCAGGGCCGCGCTTAGATTGAATCGGGCCGCAAGAGCAGGGGAGGTTCTCGTAGAAGGAGCACTCAGGGATCCAAGTCCTGAAGCCCAGATCACGACGCTCCGACTGGACATATGGCTGTGGTTGTCAAAACCAATACCCCTGGTGAACTAATCCAAGGTGGTTCTTTGGGTGTTCATCCACCCCAAAATGGAGCCACAGGTTCTGCCCCATGGCCATTTTTTTGTCATGCAGCGATTTGATTTGGCTCCAGCCGGTGAAGTCAAGCGTCGTGAGGTCTGGACGGCCATCATCAGTGTCACCTCATGCAGCATGTGAAGGCAACTGTCTAAACGATCTCTGCTTCTGAAACATGTTGAACTGACATGTCATGTTCAGAATGCATACGTTTCAAACTACGGTCTCTCTGAACAAGTGCAGTTGTCATCACTGACGGTGCTGACTAAAACTATGCCAGGTCTCAGAAGTAGCTTAATGACCCACAACTCGCCTTCCAATCTGCTTTGCACTGGTTTCAACACCAACAAACCTACACAAGTACAAAATGGCAGGATGTACGTGATTGATACTTAGATTCCACACGTGAGCGGGGTCGATTTCGATTGACCTTTGGTTCTACCTGGTCGTAAAGGTTTCACGGCCCTCCCATATCCCACGTAGACCCACCAACCTGGCCAACTGAGTCACAACTAAACCAATCTGTATTAAAATGCTCTACCCGGCTCTACCCAGAACCATGCTTCAGGAATTCAAAAGGCGCATATCTCATGGCGGATATCCGCGCCTTACTCTCCAACTACCCGAATCGGTTTGGAGCCAGTGACTCAAAACCGAGGCTTTGGGCGCGTGAGGGCCTGTTGCCAGGCACATGCTTCGCCCTCCGGAGTCCCCGGCAACAAATACACAGGGGCACGCTGGCCCTGGCCGACAGCAGGTTAGTAGAGTTGGTTACAACATGAGATACAAGGAAGTGGATGCAGATACATACATATATATATATATGCATATATATGTATACATATATATCTATACATACATATATATATATATACGTATGTACACATTATATATGTATATATGCTTCAACCCTGTCTGCTCTTCCCCTTTGAGGGCCCGGCAAGGCTTTTGGGAGCCTTCAAGAATGGTCACCCGCCGGGCAGTGTGCGGCACTGGGACCTGCAGTGCCTGCACAGGGAATTCGGAACATGTCATAAAATTGCAGTGGCCCGACGGATGGAGTTGCCATGTGGCTGTGGCTCCAAAACAAAGTATCCAACATGGCACCTCGGTGCATGGAAACAACGACCAAAACCTGCGTAACCCCAGCTGTACAATCTTGTGTTGGTAAACAAACGGTGTTGCAGAGCATGTAGCGAAGACAGTCTGCGGGGAATCCCCGAAAATCCCAACCTTAAGTTGGTGCAGCCGTCTTGTTCATTCTTTACATGGTTCTGGGTAGTCCACTTATTTAGTACCAGGATTTGATTTTGACTCAGGTTGGTTCAGGGGGTTGGTGTGGGACCACAGGCCTCAGACTCAAGTTTTGTCTCAAGGGGAATTTAGCTCTTGCATGGTATTGGGAATGCCAAGCTTAAAGTCATTCGCGACGCCACTTCAGCGTGCATTGATATCGGAGAGCCTTTTACGGTGCTTGTCGTGCCCAGAGCCGCCACATTCTACTGGAGACCTGTGACCCCATACCTACACCCGCTAGTCCCACGAGCTGGTCCACTGGCCCACGTGATGATTAGCTGAATGACAGACGTGCAGAAATCGGTTCTCGTTCTCTTCTATGCGCTCGACTGGCCAATCTGTGTTTTTGCGTACCAATGGAGCTGGGATTATTACTAACCTTCATCTACCCGGGTTTTGATTGTGGCTCACCTGGGCTTCCCGTCTCTCTGGGGCTTCGCGCCCGGAACAGCTGGCCTTGCACCAAAGGCGCCAGCAACAAGGCCGACATGGCTCCGTGCGAGCGGACCAGCGCGGCGAGGGCGGCCGATAGCGGGCTCCGTCAGCCGGTCGGTGGCATCTTTTGGTTGGTTCGGGAAACCAAGCCCATGGCAAACCCCCGAAAATTTCGCTTGCAGAAGGACTGCAAGAGAGATTTCTGAAGGCCCACTTTAAGGACTTTGACTGCAAGTTGTCACTCCGTGCTTGCCCGCGCCTCCTGCGTATAAGTCATCGGCGGGTTTTGTAGTTTGTGCCAATGGCTACTGCAAGACAGACAGATCTCCTTCCTCCCATCTGGCAATAGAAGTCGATGAATGAGTCTCTCGCGACGCTCGGAGGATGCTCAAGTGAGTCAAGTGAGTACTCAAGCGCTGCTCACAATGCAACCGGAAAGACCAATGTGAAACTCATCTTCGCCATACAAGCCCCTGACTGCTCTCTAAACGGCATGATCCAAATGTTCCTGCTTGCGGCCGGCGGCACGTGGCGGTTTTCTCCAAGCGAAACGCGAGGCGACCGCCGCAAGCCTTGACCCACTAAAGGGAATCATTCAACCGGAGCCCAGGCATTCGAACTCACGACATCACAGAATCCTTGCTGGTCATCTCCTTTTGCCTCTTTATGGTGTCAAGCTGCTTGCTCGAGTCGGAGCGAGTGCCGAGAAGGCCAAGTCTGACATTTGCCGATCCCCCGAAGCTCTGTTTCGGGGGAAGTGGTTTGCCATGGGCAATTTCGGGCGCAGCGAGATAATAGTGTTGCTGCTCTTTTCAGATGGGTGTGGCTCAAACATAAAGACCCAGGGTTACGCAGGTTTTAGTCTACTTTCCCATTTACCAGGGTTCCATTTTGGGCCCCTATTTTTGACCCACAGCCAGATTGGTTCCTTCGAGCAGGTCCGAAATGAAGGAAAGCTCTCGTGGAATTGTCTCACTCTCCTTGGACAGTCCCAAAGCCCATGGCCTACTGTGAATCCATCCGCTCCTTGAAAAGCGTCGGTCAACTCTGGCGCCTTTGCACCACGACACATCTCCCCATGTCTCCAAATCAATTGCTGGACAAGTTTTCGGCTCGGGGTACGAGTGACAATTGCATGATAAATCATGTGTACACATGTTCCTCGGTCGGGAGTTTCATGACATTAAGTCGTATGTTGCCACAGGTTGCTGGCCTCTTGGAAGCAACGCGTTTTACGTGCTGCGATGGCCGATACGGCAAATGCCAGCAACCACTAGGGCAATGTTGAAGCAAGCCATAAGCCCTAATGGCAGCGTTCCCTGCCAGTGGATCCAGCACTTGGGACAGCTCGCTCAGAAGCACATACACCTACCGCAAGGCAAATCTGGCATTGACTGATCAAAAGCTGCAATTCATCCAACTGAACTCAGAATGCAAAGGCCATACATACAAGTTGTCACTGTTGGAATGCCTGGCAAAACAGCGGTGCCTGTCAATGCTAGGGAATTTCCTTTCCAGTACTATTGACGGCTTCTTGGAGACAATCTCTACCATCTCTACCAAGCGACTTTGAGGCACATCCGTACCCGAAAGGTTTACGCCATACGGTCTTGGTTGCTCATCGCTCCCAATCTGTTGCGCCTGCTGGCCTTCTTCTTCTTCTTGCCACGACTGGGCGAATGTCAGCCGGATTCCGGATTAACTCAAGCGCCACTCCGAGTATGCTGACAAGCAACGAATGGTGAGGGCTCAATAGGCGAGTCACCCAAAACGCTCGCAGCAACCAACCAGCTCCAGTCATATCAGTTGGCGCCGCTTACATTCTTTTGCGCTGCTGCGACAGGCTTCAAGGATTCGAAGCTGAAGTGTCAGGTAGGCTCTTGTGAGAAAGGATTCGAAACTCGCCAAACAAAGGATGGTTGACACAGCCCTTTCAAAGGGAAGGGCGCAAGTTGCCACAAAACCCTGCCTGAACTTTGTCGCCGTGGTGGCCGTCGAGGAGGTTCCTAAGCTTCGCCAGGGCATTGAGTCTAAAGCGGGGAAAGAAGGCAAACCAGGCCTCGAAGGAAGGCCAACGCGCAAGCAGCTAAGCAGCATTTGCAAAGAGAGAAGCCCGAAGAATTAGCTTTCCGGACGCCAGTCGGCCAGTGCCATTTCTGGGTGACGTGCAGCCAACTCAAGCGATTGCAAGGGTTCCGAGGCCTGTGAAAATTTGAAATGTGTATATCAAAAAAGAAACAACAAAGCATAGTATGTCCATATCATACCTGTGTTTCTCCATATCATACATCAACCTCACCACCTCCGGGTAAAACCATTGAACATATTGCGACTGTCTGTCGGCCAGTGTAGAGTCTGGCAGCAGCTGCCCACAAAGTCACAGCCAAACCTTTCGAAATCAAACAAGCGCGGGGAGAGTTTTGTCTGGCGCATGCATCCAATTGCTTTAAGCAAAGCTCCGGCCGCACCAGCCTTGGCCGCCGCCTGTCGCGCTACATCACGGCAAGCAATGAGCATGGCCTTTGGTGTCTTTGCGTCCGATGGCTCGAGGTCTGATCAAAGGATTGACCACTCTCTGCCGATGCTTCTCATGCTTCGATGCCCGACGGAGCACTAGCCGCTAGCCGCTAGCCGCTAGCCACTAGCCACTAGCCAGCGGCTGGCTTGAACGTCCTTCACAAGGCAGGGACGCTTCAGCGTCTGACCTTTGCTATCCCCAAGCATGGCCCACCTGAGGCACAACAGCTGTAGGGCCTCAGCACGCCCAGCTACAAAAAGCTGAGACGCAATCAAGTTCTCTGTTGCCCGTTTTGAGAAAGGGTTCTCCTCTCTATCCCTTTCCCTCGCAATCTCTCTAAAACTCTCTCTCTCTCTCTTGGTCTTGCAGCCACGACAGCTTTTACCGTTGCTGCTGGTTGGCATTCTGGACCCGAAGGTAATGGTAAACCCATCTCACTGCCTGGAGTCGAATGTGTCCCCTCCTCTTTTGCAATGCTCGTCCCGCTCTCTTGGGGCTTCGGGGGCTTCGGGGAGCCCATGGCAAGTAAGTCGCAGGCTGGAAAAGTGCCCGCCACCCGCAAGCCCGGAGTTGCCTGGCCCGGAGTTTTGGGGGGCTAAACCCGGGCAATTGACGTACCCGAAACTGGGCCATTCGGAGCCATGCGTATCTAGGAAACAACAACAATGAGTCATCAGCTTTCCCAGGACTGAGGATATCTGAAGAATGACAGTCATTGTATCCATATAATTTGACTCTTTGGCTCTTCCAATCTGCGTCGTCCAACGTTGTGGATGCCGCATCAGCAGCGTCACATCGTCAACAGCTAGCACCGGATGAGTCGGCAAGCTGCTATGCCCAATCTAGAAAAAAAAACTGCTTATCTTGGCAGGCGATACAAAGTCGTCTTTGCAGATGTCCGCCACTCCCTAACCTCCGGGAACAGGCCCCGCTTTGTTTGTCGCATCAAAGGCTACCAGTCTGGGCCTGAAAGGAAAGCAGCTGGGACTTGTGGCGCCAAAGGCGTACCTCAGCTTCCCCCTTGTCCTTTTGGAGAGATGGGCGTCCTTGTTGTAAATGGATGGCGTAAAGCCAATGTAAACCGGTGGAACCCATCTATTTCTAACCTAGAAAGGACACCTATGAGCTTCCCTCTAAGTTTGGATTGGTGGTTTGGTGGTTCAGGAGGGGGTGTCCCTTTGGCCCTCTACAAGAACCAAGGGTAGTGTCCAAATCCAAACCAATCCAAACCACCAAGTAGGGGAGTGGGGATGCATCCTCAACCAGCCGCTCTTTGGCGCCGGCTGCCGCTCGCGCACCGCTTAGAGATGCGAGCGAGCTTCTCTCAGAGCGCGGCTGCCGGTCAAAGACGCTCCGCTTCCCATGGGCCCTGCAAGCCATGCGAAACCATAGGGATCCACTGGACCTTCCCAGGTCCCTTTGGGGGAAAATGAACCACCCCTGGGTTTCAGACGGTTTAAGTCCCAGGTCCTTTTGGGGGAAAAGAACCGTACTGATTGTAAGTCTAGGGGCTGGTCAACGAGTGAACAACCCTGATCCAACCTACCTGCGCGCACAAGCCACCAAAGGCGCCTTGGGGCAAACCAGGATGCGCCATGGGACCTGCGCGCCAACGACGCTTGGCCTTTCGCAATCCTTTCGCCGGGCCTCAGGTTTCCTTTCGCAGGAATATGACAGACATGTCATATATTTAAAAAAAAAATGCTGATTCTGGAGCATCTCGTGTTGAATTCTTTTGTGTTTACAACCCTTCCGCGTTCCAATCGCCGGCCTTTCGGAATGGGAGCTCTTTCGCGCTGGTCCCTTCACACTTTGTTCAGAGTGCTGCAACTGTCAGCCCGGAGCTCCCGGAAGGAAGGTGGGACGCAACATATTCGCGCAAGTCCGGTGCTTTGCGGTTGGGGCGAGGGGGCCTCGCCCAAACGGAAAGTTTCTTACAGCCCCACGTGTTGTGAGCCCAAGGCCACCTCGAGTCGCACAGAAGCAACCAGAGAGGCAAACGCGGCCGCGCCTGGTGGGTACACGGCACTGAAGGGCGTGCCAGCGCCAATCGAGACGTAAGGTGAACCCGTATAGGGCGAGCCTGTGGAGCCTCGCAGCTCGCGGGAAGGTAAAATCCACCCTGGCGCTTGAGTGGGCAAATATATATATATATATATGTATATATATATATGGCCAGCAATCTGGGAACAACGCCTGCTGCTCTCTCTTTCTCTCTTGCCATCCCAACCAAGGTAGCCTGGTTTTGAGAGGCTTGCCCCGAACCGGCCCACTGACCAGCCTGCTGGTACAGCGGGCGCTCCTGCGGCATTCGCTTTGCAATGGGTCAGGTCTCGCGCAAAAGCGGTGCTCCGTATGCACATTGGGGAATCTAAATTGAAAGTCCAAAGCTTTCTGCCAAAATGCCCAGCGATTGCTGGAGCCCACCCATTTCCCTGAAGACCATTCCATTTTGAGCCCTTGGCAGAGGAAAGGCGGCTCGGGGGTTCACGTGCCCTTGGACCCTACCGAGAGCGGACCTGTCCCTTCGCCGAATCTTGGAAGGCGACCGACCGACATTCCCAAGCCAGGCACGGACACCGCCAGCTTCGTTGCTCCCGGCCCCAACCCCATCGCAGCGCTTTCAGTTCCAAGGCCCAGCGGCAACCATCGCGAAAAAGCATCGCAAAGCATCGCGTAAGCTCGCCCAACCTGTTGGATAGAAAACACCGTGGCCCAGAAGGTTTCGCGCATCTCGCGCGAAAGTCAGACTTCCAACTTTTCTGGAATATGCCCGCACATGTTCGTTTACTGCCAAGCACACAAGGTGTTGAACGCACGCGAGCCACGAGATGGAGAATTCTCAAATGACCCAAGTTTTTGAGCTTCACGATTGCTTTCCTGCCGCATCAGAAACGCGTTTCTGCCAACCTTCGCACGAATATTCAATTTGGCGCATGTGCAGCCAGGATGTGCTTAGTCAAAACGTGCGCGCCCTCATCGGCAAGCCCAAAGATCGAGAGATGTTTGCCGCAGGGGAAGCCCCTCCCCGCTTTCACGCGAAACATTGCTCTGCTGAAAAGGTTCTCACTCTAGCTTGGGCCAAACGAGACAAACTATCAACCACGAACGCACCTGATTATCTGTGGCCATGCTGAAGGCCAAGGTCTGAGCCCCGCTCCTGGCTGAAATGCAACCGGCGATCCATATGGGGATCCTGCCACACCTCGGTCTTTCAGATTCGCACCTTGCCCAATCAGATTCTCTATCCTCTGTTGGGTTGAAAGCAGAGGGGTTGCAGCCTGTGAGCCAACCAGCATGCCAATAAAGGTGCCTTTGGAGTGCTTGAAGGTTCCTACACTAGGCCGCTTCTTGGGCGAGCTGGGTCCAAGATCAGCTTGAAACACTTAAAACTATTCCGCAGGACGCAGGACAATGATCTCTCTGGGAGCCCTCTGAGTGTGGTTCAATACGCATTGCTTCCGGGCCATCGCAATTGCTGCTTTCGGCTGACGCGGAAACTGGGAGTGGCGGTGACGCCAACCAAACGTATCCCCAATGATTTGGAATCAGATCTGTCAACATGGCTTGTGGTCGTCGAAGGCTGCTTGGGCATGGAAACAAAGCGTTGCAAGCCAACGACACCATTGCATTGCAGAATCTGCAACACCATTTCAGCAAGGAGCATGGCTACCAAGAGCTGTTGTGAGTGCCCGACCCCCTTGGAGCGGTGCGCCGTCCCCTGCCGCTTTTGAAGCGATTCCCCGTCGGCTTTGGGCTGTCGCAAGAGCTGCCAAGATGAGCTGTGAAAGGCTGATCTCAGAAGCAAGCTCAAGAAAAAGGCGGGCCTGCCAATCTTTGCATTCCCAAACATGAATGAGCCTTGGGCGAAGGCAAAAGCAAGGGCCCTCAACCATTTAGCTCGTGACGCGGGCCTCTGATGCTGTGGGCAGAGCTCACATCTGTGAAGGCAGAGCCTTCCGAAGGTCAAATCCAATTTGCAGCTCAAAAAACTGTACTCAAAACGGAGAGGTGAAAATTTGTGGCTCAATTTACACAAGTGCCTTGGTAGATGGAGACAAAGACAAAGGTCCTGAATTTTGAGCACAATTTGGCTCTTAGATCTGGAGGTATTTGGTGAACAGCTCGCCGAAGATCCCATTGTAGAGACGTGCCGCTTGCAAAGCGACAGATCTGGGAAGGATTATTCACTATGGGGTCAGCAAAGTGGCAAAGAGCCCAAAGCGTAAAGGCGTTGTTTGCACTTGCAAGCCAGCGGGATGCGAAGGCAACTCAGATCTACACCGCGTGAGCGCAAGCTACAAAGGCCGCATCAACGGATCAAAGAAAAAAACTCCTCCAACAAAAATTGGGAGCCTCAAACAACTATCACCAGAGTGCTGTGTCTGCAGCAATTCGATAAGAAACCTCTCACAGCCAAACATTATTGAGCAAGCAAAATCTCTTGAAATACAAGTTCTGTGGTGGCGTGCTTTCCACCTCGTGACAATTGTCTCAGCAGAGCGTTGTGTTCCCTGCCTAGCAAGACTGCTGTATGGGGCTTGCAGCGCTCCAGCGCCAACGCTAACCAGAATTGGACCAAATGAAAAAAACGACGTCACCTCATAGGTAGCAGAATCACTGCAACGATCTCAAACCCACGGCCAACGCGCGTGTAGTTTTCCAGCTAAGTGACCGGGCCCAACAAACAAATGGAAACACATTTAAGCTGAGAACTCATGGGCTTCCAGCGTGCATTGTCTCTGCTTTGCGCCTGCCATGGCCGACTGGCCCATGGAGTTCTGCGGGAAACTCGCCTGCTGGCAGACTTGCCGGGGACCCGCAATGAAGTTTGCCAATCGCGCCAATAGATTTCAGGGGCTATAGACATCAGGGTGATGCAAGCAGCATTTGCCATACCTGCAAGCTGCTCTTGCCCCATGGAGGAGCTTCGGCAACACGACACACACACACACACGCACGCACAAGCACGTGTGCGCCGAAGGCTTCCTCAAACGCAATACCACCGCTTCCCACTCATTGCTGGTTGGGGGTGTTCCCGTTTACACCAAACCACCAATCCAAACCACCGGGAAGCTGAATCCGCAAGTTAATAAAGAACAATTCCCGGGTATCGGAAAATCGATAAAATACGCGCCGTTGCCGGTAAAGATTGTAGATGAAGGGCTCTTGGGTCTTGAATGGGTGTCTTCTATTCCTTCGCTTGTCAAAGTCGGAGGCTTTCAGGGCCATTTGGGATCAACATCTGGGGCATGTGTGTCCAGTACGCTGATGCTGCCAACAACCTGCATTGCATGTAGGCCTCCACGCTCAAAGCAAAATAGGGCCTGGATGTGCAAACAAATGAACCCTCTCCCTAATTGACTGCCCAAACAATGTAACATTTGACATCTTTAGTTGTTAATCTCAAGCTCTGGCAGGCACTTGGCTGCATGTGAGCGCAAATAAAAGTTGGGACGGGTAGCCCTTGACTTGTGGCTGTTGCTGGTGATTGTGGTCATCATTGTCGTTGTTGTTGCTGTTGCTATTTTGTTGCTGTTGCTGTCGCCGCTGCTGCTGCTGCTGCTGCTGCTGCTGCTGCTGTTCCCGTTTCTGTCGCTGTTGCTGTTGTTGTTGTTTATCGCTGTTGCCGTTTCTGTTGCTGTTGCTGTTGCTCTTGCTGTTGGTGTTGTTGTTCTTGGTGTTGTTGTTGGTGGTGGTGGTGTTGTTGTTGCTGTTGCTGTTGCTGTTGCCGTTGCTCTTGCTATTGCGGTTGCGGTTGCTGGTGCTGTTTTTGATGCTGCTGCTGTTGTTGTTGCTGTTGTCATTGATGTTGCTGTTGTTGTTGTTGGCGGTGTTGTTGTTGTTGTTGTTGTTGCTGTTGTTGTGCTCGTTCTGTTGTTGTTGTTGTTGCTGCTGCTGCTGTTGTTGTTGCTGTTGCTGTTGCTGTTGCTGTTGCTGCTGCTGCTGCTGCTGTTGTTGTTGTTGGTTGTTGTTGTTGTCGTTGTCGTTGTTCGTTGTCGTTGTCGTTGTTGTTGTCGTTATTGTTGTTGTTGTTCTCGCTCTGTTGTTGTTGTTTGTTGACTGCTGTTCGCGCACGTCAACGACAACAACAACAACAACAACAACAACAACACCAACACCAACACCAACACCAACACCAACACCAACACCAACAACAACAACAGCAACAGCAACAGCAACAGCAACAACAACAACAACGACAACAACAACAACAACAACACCAACCACAACAACAACACCAACACCAACACCAACACCAACACCAACACCAACAACAACAACAGCAACAGCAACAGCAACAACAACAACCACAACAACAACCACAACAACAACCACAACAACAACCACAACAACAACCACAACAACAACCACAACAACAACCACAACAACAACAACACCACAACAACAACCACAACAACAACCACAACAACAACCACAACAACAACCACAACAACAACCACAACAACAACCACAACAAAAACCACAACAACAACCACAACAACAACCACAACAACAACCACAACAACAACAACAACAACAACAACAACAACAACAACAACAACAACAACAACAACAACACCCACAACCAAAACCACAAC